TTTTTTTTTTTTTTTTTTTTTATTTATTTAGATTTAGCTGATACTAGGAGTGTATATAGAATGGGTTGGGGAGCTAAATCAAAATTTCGAGTGGGTTAGATTAGTGACCCGAACAATCCGAAAAGAGTTCACAACTCAACTCTCTAATTTCCGAGTGATTATTTTTTTAATTATTTAAAAAACCATATTTATTCACAGATGACATTAATAACCAGTAGAGTTGGGTTAAGTTCTAATCCTATTTTTGATGGGTCGAATTGACCCAATTAAAAAATATCAATCTCAAACAGAATGAAATTTTTAATTTTTTTTTTTTTAAATTCAAAATAATTGAATTGAATTTTTTGTTAACTCAACTTCCCTCTTAAAGTTTGGGTTGGTTAGTTCAAATTAGTCAGGTTATCAGATCATATGAACCTTCGTTATCCAATTATTCTTAGCCAGGTTTCCACTTGGAAATCAGTTATTTTTGTAGCAGGAAACTGAAAAGAAATTGATTTAATTTGGTGGATTGGGTCAAATACGTGTTAGTTAAGTCGGTTGGGTGGTTGGTCTTTAAAAAAAACGCATCAAATTTGGCATTATTTTAATTTTTTTAATTGGTGGGCCCATTTGATTTTAGTTTTAGTCAAAGATTTGAGACAAAGATATCATTTAATTTTATTATTTGACTTTCAATTCGCATTACTTCTCAAGTTTCCCTCTTTCTTGGAATTCTTGATTTTGTTGGAAGCTTTGAGAGATCTCTCTTTAATAATATCCTAATTCATAAATAAAGTAAAAAAAATATATGTCGGAAATTATTCAAAGAGTCAAATATGTCGGAATTTTTTTTTTAAATCATAATTGATTGAATATAGTAAAAAAAAAAATTAAAAATTAAAAAATAATATCCTAAAAAACAAGCTCAAAAGCTCTCGAGATAAGTATGATATTGTCCACTTTAAGCATAAGCTCTCGTGACTTTGCTTTGAACTTCTCCAAAAAGCCTCATACTAATGGAGATAGTATTTCTCATTTATAAACCAATGATCATTCCCTAAATTAGGGGACTCACTCCCAACAATTCTCAACAATCCTCCTCTCGAACAAAGTACACTATAAGCCTCTCCTGAGGCTTATGGAGCTCTGACTCTAATACCATTGTGGACCATGTTAGACGAACACGACTCTCCACAATGGTATGATATTGTCCACTTTAAGCATAAAGTCTCGTGGCTTTGCTTTGGGCTTCCCAAAATGCCTCATATCCATGGAAAGAGTATTCTTTATTTATAAACTCATGATCATTCTCTAAATTAGCCGATGTGGGACTTTCATCATCGAACAGAATGAACCCCTTCAAGTTTTGTTGGAATGCACGTGCGTAAAAATAATAACCATACATCGTAAATAATAATAATAATAATAAAATAAAATAAAAGTCACATTTATTTAGTAGAAACAAAATTCGAAACATAATGCCCTCTTTCAAAGGACAAATCCGCAAAAAAAAGGGGAAAATAAAAATAAAAATTCAAAAATACAATAATAATAATAATAATAATAAAAGCGATTATTTAATTGACGTGGCTATCCCTTAGCACACGTCACTTAACACAAACAGCCAAAATGCATAAAATAAATAAAAATTAACTTAGAGATAAAATTACTCAAAATAAAATTTCCACGTCAGAAACTCCTTTAGCTTTTTCAATCCATGGAAGATCAAAGCTGAGCTGTCCATCGGAGTCATCCCATTCAAATTCCACTTCTACTCCGTTCGAAATGCACTTTTTCGGGTACGCACTCGAGTAAGCTATGAAATTTCCTCCACCTTTTACTTTCAGCTCGACTCCGTTTTCATTATACTTCAAATGTTGAATCGTTCCAGAACTGTTGAACATGTTCTTCAGACCGATGGGAGCGAATTTAATGTTGGAATTGAGCTTTCTTAAAGGTATGAAACTGAAGATCTCGAATGTAGATGGTTGAATGGTCACTTTTAGCGGTTCAGATTTGGGGGTAGTGTGGAGAATTTGCTCGGCTTGATTCAGGTACACAATGTATTCGGTGAAATTCCCCATTGGAGCAGCTTCTGGTTTTTGATCCCATTCCACATCGCTGACATGCACGGTTGTAGACATTGGCTTGTAACATTCTGGATGTCCCTTGATTCTTTGTTCTTTAGGGTCCCACCCTGCTCCTTGGCAGTTGAATGCCCCGATTACACCTCCATACTGTACATAAATTCCAATGGAGAAGTGTCATTTTTTCGAATGATATAAAGATTTGGGTTTCGAAAAAAAATTAGAAAGTACCTTGTTGAAGTTCCAGATCTTGAGAACCGTTTTACTGTCAAATAAAGGATTCTTGAAGAGACAGTCTCTAGTGGGGAGGGCAAAATGTTGGCATCTAGGAATAGTTCCATCGGGATAAACGAGTTGTTTTATGAGATCAAAATTATGGCCACCCACGGAGTCACTCACATAGACAGGACCACCACAAATAGCTCTTGATCCCGCATGGAATTTAGCACATAGATGGTCTGATTGAAACATGTCCCAATCAGGCTGTATGATCTGTCCCATCCACATACTGTTGTAGGCACAGTGAATCATATGAACACCTTGTAACCAATAAACACCCATGGGATCACCGTTTGGATCTTGAAACCAAAAGTCATCACCTGTAAAAACGTTTCCCTTTTATTGTTCTGTTTGTTTCATTTAGTGGACCCATCTTATCGAAAAAGTTGAAATTCTTACCTACTCTTCCTATGGAGTTTTGCTTCGTGCCAAGGAAGAAGAAATCATTACACTGTTGCATACTAGAGAAAAGACCCGTCCCTTTAAAGTTCTTATGAAGAGATTTAGTCAGACCCTTATAATAGGCCTTAGCAAGATCAACTCGTCCTCCATATTCCTCCGAGACATACTCCAGTGTCTGAATTTGAACAAATAAGTTAACAGATCAGTTATCGAACAACAGTGCTAAGTAGTACTAAGTAAAGACCTTATTTTAGAGATACTTACATGCATCACATCGACTTTTACGCCTGTAATCCCAACTTTAGAGAGATAAGAATGCATCGAGTCGAAAAAATCGTCAGCTTGATCAGGATGAACGAGTCCGATACTCCCTTCGATAATCTTCACAACAGCAAGATCAGTCATTGTGCCATCAAGGCCAGGAGAGAGCTTACAAGGAACTATCTTGGAGTTCAAATGGGTAGCACCAGGCCTCACACCACCCCAAGCACCAGCAAGAGCATGCCAAACAAACACATCATCCAACCCTTTGAATTTTGTTCTCAAATCCCTTGTGAATGCCTTCATTCCAGAGTCATCACCCTTGCAAGAACAGCTAGAACAGCCACTGTCTTGTTCTTTGCCAAAGATTGCATTCAACTCTTCCTTAAGCTTATGAATTTTGGTCTCGAACTTAGTGATATCAGCGACTCCCGAGCCAATGGCCTTGTCTCTGTCCTTCTCAGCGTGCTCGATTTCGATTGCCTTAGCGATCAATAACTTCGGCTTCTTTGGATCAAACGATGGAGCATTTGGACCCGACAAAGACCCACCTTTGTACTTCCTAAACTTCTCACATTCATCAAATCTATAGAGCCTTGCAGTCATTTGTGTCCCACCAAGAACAAGATTTTTAGCATCTCGAGTTGGGTCTTCCCCGTCGATGTTGATACTCTGCCACCCATCGTCAATGATGAGAAACCTCGGCGACACACCGCCTTCAGCAAAGTCATTGACACCATTCCAAATTCCGACAGGATCTACTGTTAAGTAAAAAGCATCCCATGTACACCAACCGAATTTGTCCACTAAATGAGTGACAGGCTTCTCTTCCAAGAGCCTAAACGTGTTCATATGAACTCTAATAGCCGCATAGGCCTCTTTCATTAACTTGTAAGGGTTATCAGACACATGAACGTAAGCTATAGCATCAAAACTAGATGTTTTCACATGAGTTGAGCCACTCTCGGCGCAAATCATGACATGCCCATCAACCCCAGGATGGATAGCGGATCTAAAACTCCCTTCTATAATGGGTATGAAAACGACATACGATTTTATCTCAGGGACATTCAACATGAACCATTGAGTTTCCATTTGTAAATCCGACCCAGAATTCCCGACCCACATGGTCGACCACCATGTTTTGAATCTAAACACACTCACAAACTCCCTACCCTTGAATTTCCCCAAGGAATTGGTGAGCCTATCAGAGGATTTGGTTTGATCAAACCCAAGAAAGCCACCCTTATGAGACAGAGTATGAACTCGTTGGAGCAGAGGAAGTGGGGCATCAGAGGATTGACATATGGAAGAGAAGGAGCTGAAAAAGACATTACTTGGGACATCCGACAGCAAAGAAACACCTTTGACACTGAGTTTCCCATCTGCGAAATCAACAAGATTCTCCAAACCGTCAGATTTGAGAGGCGAAGAGGTTAAGGAAGATGGGTCGTTTGGGGGAGCCATGGCAGGATGGATGGGTTGAACAAAGCTTAGAAAGACGAAGAATGTCTAAGAAGCTTTGATTGATATCAACGGAAGAAGACAAGCGGCAACGTAGGGTGGCATACGAGGACAAGCCCGAAGCCAAGTGGTGAGCTGAAAGGAACAAAAACGGTACACTTGTAAGAGGAGAATGAGTTGAGGAAAGAGGGGAAATGGTGATGGGTTTTATAGAGAAGGGATGGGGCGATGTTTTAGGACAAGAAAATGGCGACACGACATGAGAAAACAATGAACAAATTGGTCGGAATGGACAGAGGAATTTATTCAATCAAATATGAAAAGAGGAATGAATCAGGGTTTTGATGATGTTAAAAGTAAAAGGGTTGGAGAGTTAATTAAAGTGGATGAAGGGGTTGGTTAAGTTAGTTGGATTAGTCGGTGGTCTTGCTCTTTAAGTGGGTTTTGGACCCACAAATCCCTAAAATTACGTGTCTAATGGATAATGTAACTGCCTTTATTATGTCTTAATCAACAAGTTTCATATGTTTTTTTTTCTTTTTTTTAGTCGGGTCGTTTTAAAAGTTTATGATTTTAAACGGTTATTAATGTTCTGGCTGGTTGAACTATATACATTATACAGATTTCAATATGTAACTAACTTAAATATCGTTTTCTTTGATCTTCTTTTGCTAAGATGTCACAACGTTGGCTTTCTTTTCTTAAGTCTCTGTGTTAAAAGTAATTTTCTTAAGAAAATTAAAGTTTGATAGTTTATTTCAAAAATATCTTTGAACTTTTAATAGCTCTCGATAATTTATCGGTATATTTTTATTTTTTATAATATAATAAAAAGGTCGATTCATATTTTATGTTGAATAAAATAAGAAGGTATATTATTAAAAGTTGCAGCAAATAAATAATAAATTATGGTGTTAAAAAAAAAAAGAGAGAGTATATTTGGGTTTGGCGGTGAGATTCTAAGAACAAGAGGGCCAAATTGGCATTGCCTTCAATATTCCAAAGCAAGGAATGACACTATTTCATCCTTTTTGCTTTTTTTCTTCCTCAAAATGTTGCAAGAATTTCTCTTTAATTAGCATCTCCTTTTTAATATTCACTTGCTTTTCTTATATTCATTCGTTTTTTTTTTTTTTGGTGATTTTAAAATCCTTTTTTTTCTTCAAGTATGGTATTTGGGATAGCTATAGTATCTTTTAAACGAGTTCTATGAACGGTCGAAGCCTACTAAGTTCATCAATGCATTTTATTATCAGAAAAAAAAAATGTTCAAATGACTAGAGAACCCGACCAATTCGAACTATCTAACCCAACCCATAAATGTTAGATTGGGTTAGATTTTTTTTTCTCCGGTTTGGATTGGGTTGAATTTTTTAGAAAATCGAATATTATAATTGGTACGTAGGTTGACAATTTTTTTGTCTAGTCAACTCGACCAATCCAAAGATAGAGTGATGTTAGTGATACATATGACTTGTGAATGTTTGATAGTTAAACTTTATGGGATTTTAGTTATTAATATAACACGTATTAGGGATAAATATGATTTTTTTTAAATAATTAAAAAAAAAACCCGAAAATACAAGTATGAGTTAGATTGGATTGTGAACTTTATTTTGATTGTTCGGGTCACCAACCCAACCAATGGTCCAAAAAATTTCCTTAACCTAACCAAACTCATGTAGAGTCCTGAAACAAAGGCATCATCAAGGTATGCCGTTTAAAGGTGTCCTTGTCCAAGTCACTATAGCGCATCTTATATCTTACATGTTGAGTAGGGGATATTGTTTGGGTAATTGTTCGATGGTGAATGACTTAAAGTATATACGCAAAACTTATCTTCACAACTTTTTTTTTTTTCGGACGAAAAAATACCAAATATGTTTATTAGAATCATTTGGCGTATAACTTAAACTCACCCTTTTTTAGCAGAGCAAGATAATCTTGAAAATGAATATTCAAACATGTGAGTCTGTGTATAATATTTATTCAAATTGTGCTACAAGGAAATCGTTTGGAGTTTGGAAATGAGATCCAAATTTTCAGTATCTGGATGAGTTCTACCATCATGAAGAACAAGCAATTTTAAGGTACCTGACTCTTTCAACCAGGCAGCCACCACAGAGCCTGTTGATACATACCTTCCTATATTGCATTTCGCAACCTGAAACGGTGCCCCCATCCCGGTCAGAAGTGCCTCGATCGCCCGCCTTAGAGCTCCATCACCGACGACTTTGCTGTGTTTTCCCCATCCAGTCAGAATGCTGCATAATAATCACCAAGATGTAAGAAGTTTGCAATAATACATTTCGTTTTTAAGGAACATAACGATTTTCGTTGAGAACAAATGAAAGAATATCGAAACGATTCGTTTTCGGCTGGCTCAACCTTGGGTCTTTCCATACGCAACTACTTGCCAAGAACAGATGTAATGATCCCACATACGCAAAACGCCAGAAAGCACTCTTCTGGATTCAATTTGTGAAGGATTCCCATAGACTTTAATGGCTAGAACGGAACCGAGTATTCAATAGGCAAAGAAAGAACCCTTTAGGAGCTTCTTGTACCTGTTACTTTTTAGCTTTTTCTTTTGTATAAATTTTAACGGTCCAAGCCGACTGCGGGTAGATATTGTCCTCCTTGAACTTCCCTTTCGGACTTCCGCTTAAGGTTTCTAAAACGTGTCTGATAAGGAAAGGTTTTCACACCGTTACAAAGAATGCTTCATTCTCCTCCCCAACTAATGTGGGATCTCACAATCCACCCCTTTTTAGGACCCACTGTCCTCGCTGGCACTCACTCCCTTCTCCAATCTATGTGGGACCCCCTAATCCCCCCCCCCCTCTTGAGGACGCTCGTGTCCACCTCTCTTTAGGGCTCAGCCTCCTCACTAGCACATCACCTGATGTCTAGCTCTAATACCATTTGTAACGGTCCAAACCCACAGCTAGCAGATATTGTTCTTTTTGGGATTTCCCTTTCGGGCTTCCCCTTAAGGTTTTTAAAACGCGTCTACTAGGGAGAGATTTACACACCCTTATAAAGAACGCTTTGTTCTCCTCTCCAACCGATGTGAGATCTCACAATACACCTCGTATTACATAGTCTTACTTCCCTTCGTGCCAACTGGCTACTCAATCTTAATAAAGAGAAAGTTTGAGGCGCCATTGAAGAGAGATACCATATTCTGCCTCAGTGAATAAGACAAGTCTTTTTAAGAAAATGTAGAAACAAACAAATCCATCAAGACACGACTAAGTCCCATTATATGCATAACAAAACACCTATAAAGAGCGTGGGGGGGATGAACTTGTACCTCAATAACTTTGGCAACTGATGGCCATTAAACACAAGAGAATGAATACCCAGCAGCCAAGCATGAACCATGGCGTGAGCAGCTCCAGACGACATGAGGTGCAAATCTAAGCAAGAATCGGACCATAACGTCTCCCATACATTGCGCCTTTTGCCTTCGAGTACGACCAATTGGGCCCCTCGTTTCTATAAATAAGAACAAGATTTCAGAATGATAACACAAAATAACCAAACGCACGATGAGGATTGGATATAAGAATGCTACTAAAGAGGCTTAGACTTCACCTGACCAAGATGCCACAGCATATCTGTCAAAGCATTGTAGAAAGAAGCTGCAGTGGAAGGGTCCATCTGCTTCACTTCATCAAAAAGACACTGCGCTTGAACCCACACATTTTCGCTAAAGCCCATCAGGAGTCCATGAGCTACACCATACACTTGATTATCAAATAATCGAAGCTCTTCCAATAACATTGAAGCATCTTCAATCGATTTGCAGCGGCTGCACTCGAAACAAAAATTCCACAATCAGGATCGAACACGTATCCAGCTTGAGTTTATAGTGAATAATATGGAATAAAGACCAAAGCAAGCAACCAGAAGGACTGGCATAATAAACCTCAGAAAATATGCAGGAGAGTGGAAAGAACAGGTTCCTCCAATTGGCATGGATAAAAAGAGTAGCGAAAACAAGCTCACAAAAGAAGCCCTAAACTACCCACAACAACGCACTCCATGTAAAATGTTGCTGAAGTGAGGCTCAGACTCAATGACCCGTTAGGAATCACGGGCCTACATGATGATATGATATTGTCCACTTTGAGAATAAGCTCTCGTGGCTTTACTTTTGGTTTCTCCAAAAGGCCAACCTCATATCAATGAAGATGTATTCCTTACTTACAAACCTATAATCGTCTCGTTGTATTCCTTACTTATAAACCTATAATCGTCTCGTTAATTAGCCAATGTGAGACTCACTCCCAACCATCTTCAATACCCTTGTTCAATGTTCAAGAAAATGATTTATAAAAAATGTGACAAAAAGAGGTAAACAACTATTGCACAATGTAATTTGTGGTATATTTGACTAGAGAATGTGACAAAGTGCGACAAAGGGTTATAAATTATTCTTACTAAATATTTTACTTGTAGAGTGTAACAACCCAACCCACTACTACCAGGTATTGTCCGTTTTGGCTCGTTTCGTATCGTCATCAGCCTCACGATTTTAAAACGCATCTTCTAGGGAGAGGTTTCCACACCATTGTAAGGAATGTTTCATTCCCTTCTCCAACCGGTATGAGATCTCACAATCCACCCCCCTTGGGGGCCAGCGTCCTCGCCGGCACACCACTCGGTGTCTGACTCTGATATCATTTGTAACACCGTTAGCAGATATTGTCTGCTTTGGCCCATTACGTATCGTCGTCAGCCTCACGGTTTTAAAACGCGTCTTCTAGGGAGAGATTTCCACACCCTTATAATGAATGTTTCGTTCCCCTCTCCAACCGATATGGGATCTCACAATCCACCCCCTTGGGAGGCGAGCATCCTCGCTGGTCTCGCTGGCACACCCAAGCCCACCACTAACAGATATTATCCGTTTTGGCCCGTAACATATCGTCGTCAATCTCACAGTTTTAAAACGCGTCTTCTAGGAAAAGGTTTCCACATCCTTATAAGGAATGCTTCGTTCCCCTCTCCTACTAATGTGGGATCTCACATAGAGTAAGCTTGCCAATATGCTAGAATGATAAAGAAATCTCCACATTACTTCATTATACATCCTAATAAAATGCCTAGTTTTGTAAGTCCATGGCTTCTATTCATAAAGAGAATCAATTACAAAAATGAAAAAAATGGCTAAAATAACTTAAGTAGGCAGATCTTTGAG